TCAGAAGGCACAGCCTGGGGTGGGCAGCGCCCGGCTGCGTGGCTCTGCGGCTGCTCCTCTTGGTGCCGCTCTGGACTGAATGTCAGATTTGGGGAATGTGTGTTTGTCGGTAGGGAATAACCTCCAGAGTGAGCCCACCCCACAGGAAGGGAGGTGGGAATTGTCCCGAAAGTGGGGGGAGATTTTCCACAGGAAATATTGGGAGAGACAGCAAGGCAGCCAGGTTTGGAGCCTGGGGGTCCTGGGAGCCCCCTGCATGGGGCTCAGGCTAGTCTCACACTTGTCCTGGGAGGACTGACCAGGTTCGGGTTCTCTGCTCTTACCCACTAATTCTAGACCTTCAGGAGGGCCTGTGACAACCACATTTGACCTCTGCTCATGGTCCTGGGGGTGCAGCGGGCAAGTGGTGAAGGAAACCTGACGAGTGGGCAGTGGTCACTGAGACCATGGGCTGAGACCCCTGTGAGAGCCCAGCAGGGCAGTGCCCGCAGGGGGTGGAAGTATGCTGGCGGGTACAGAAAGGGAGCAGGGTCCCCGCAGGATCTGGCGCAACTCGGAAGAAGGAAGCCCCACCCCCCAAGAGACCCAGTATCTCCCAGACCTGTGCCCTTAGCCCAGGGCCTGGTCAGTGCAAGGACAGCAACCCAGCAGGTCTGGGGGGTTCTCCCGGAGCAGCTGGTGCAGAGCCCGCGGGGCAGGAACGAGGGAGGCAGGGGACGCCTGGACGCAGGAGTGCCACGTGGCACTGTCCTTGTCGCGACCCTGAGGACTGCGCCAGGAATCATGGGGTTCCTGCCAGCCGCCCTCAGAACGAAACCGTGCACGGCTGACGGGGTGAGCTCAGCGAGTCACCTCCCCTGATCTAACCTGGGGCCAACACACTTTCCTTTGGAGTTTATATTTTTTCCTAAGTTGACTCACACATTCCTGCCCATTGTGTGTTCTGTTTGTTCATAGATTCATGCAGATGGGATGCCTCCAGTCTTTTTCGGAAGAAAGGTGGGATATAAACACAAATGGATGAAGTCTGCATATCCACCAGCAAAGCGAGACATGCTGCTCAAATCCGTGAGGGATTGTTGGGTAACAAATTCAACTATTGCTAACTGAGCCCGCTCTATTTTTAATGAATTGACTGAAAGTTTGTACAGTTTAAGATAATAGGACCTTCAAGCTGTCAGATAAAGAAAGGCTTATTGAAATACCTCTGTCAGCCCTCCCTGTAAGCCACATAGTTTACTTAGATAAACGGCATGAACTTGGCTTATTTTTATGAATAAGGGATTCATATCTGTTTATTCTGTCATGTCCTGACTGTTTTCCTTTCCTTTTCTGCCTTCTCTATGTCTCTGTGATCGTTTTTGGTTTGTTTGTTTGAGAAGGAGCGTGCAGTGGTGCGATCTGGTATCAGTTCACTGCAACCTCCGACTCCCTGGGTAAAGCGATTCTCCTGCCTCAGCCTCCCCAGTAGCTGGGATTACAGGTATGTGCCACCACGTCAGGTTAATTTTCATATTTTTAGTAGCGATGGGGTTTCACCGTGTTGGCCAGGATGATCTCGATCTCCTGACCTCGTGATCCGCCTGCCTCAGCCTCCCAAAGTGCTGGGATTACAGGCATGAGCCACCACGCCCGGCCATCTTGTGATTCTTTAGACCATGGTCCGCTGTTCCAGCCCCAGGCTTAGCACAGGGAATGGGATGGAGGAGCTGGAAGACGCTTATTGAATGTTTGGTGAAAAATGAAGTGGGGGAAAGCACAGGAGTGAGTTGGGGGGCGAGGGGTGGCTGTGAGGGAGCGTGACCTCCGCTCCCGGCCCTCCAGCGTCCAGGGACAGCGGCAGAAAGAGGAGAAGAGTGACCAGAGGGAGGGAGGGTGCAGCAGGCCTCTGAGCACGAAGACCCGTCTCCACAGGGGAGTGGAAGGAGTGCGTCTGCATGTGGCCGAGGGCATGCGAGGATTGTGAGCGGCTTGGTGATTCCCTCCCTCTCCCACTGCCACAGGATGAGGCCACACGAGGCCTGGCAACAGCAGTGGCTCCAGCTGAAGAAAACCCTGGGTGGTCACACGGGCGTGATGGCCAGCTGCGTTCCCTGTCCGTTTCTTTCCAGCAAACACTGTTTGCCCGAGTCAGGCTGGTGAGGACACAGAAGAGGGACCTGTTCTGTGTCTCAGGCATTTCACACCTGTGGCGATGCTGTGGCAGCTCTTACGTGGTTCTGTGGGTTCTGCTGGGTTCTGCTTCGGTGTGAAGCTCTGCAGATGTGCAGAGGGGATCAGCTCTGGTTTCTGATCAAGCAGGAAATCTCGCGTTCTCACTTAAAAATGAAACTGGAAGACAGCACAACTTTATAGCCATGCTCCTATGGCCAGACACGGGACAAAAAGATTTGTAACAGAAAAATATGTGGTGAAATGACATTTCCTGTGTTTTTTTGGCTAACCAGTCAGAAAAGTTCCCATGAGTGAGAGAGGGTTCCTAAGAAACACGCTCCTGTATTTATTGTAAAGTCTTCACGGATCTCCAAGTTTCACAAACAGGAGACGAAACCATGGCTGTGAAGAAGAACTTGGAAATCCCAGACCACGATGAAGACACAGTCCTACAGTCCCACAGGGTGACGTGTCCAAGCTTACAGTGTCATTGCTTGTCTCAAGGAGCGTCAGGAGTTAATGACGGGAACTTTTTGGTTTTAATAAAGTGGATTCTGTGCTGAGGTCTTATGGGTTTGCAGGGTTTGGAGGAGGAGATGACTGAGGGGCGTCGGCCTTGACATTTGTGGCAATCACTTAATTTACCAGCGAGGAATTCCATTGCTGGGAACTGGCGGGGCAGTTTTGTGAAGAAGGAAGGCAGATGGGAGGGAGACAGAAGAAAACGGGGTATGAAAAAGGATAGTTTTTGTGGTTTACGAAATTCATGGAGAAGCAGCCACGGGGTAAGTGTGTACGTGTCCGATGGCTCCTGGTGAACCACAGCCTGCTTGTTTGGATTGCTGTGGAGAGCCACCGCGGTAAGCCGGCCTCCCTGTGGGAACGTGGTCCACGGCTGCGCAGCACAGCCCCTCCGCCAGGAATCTCACAGGATCCCGGGAGGAAAAGCCTAAAGCTGCCACCATTGGAAATTTCCAAAAGAGCAGGGCTTTGTCAGGTGTTCTTGGGGGTGAAATAGTTTCACAAACCACACAAGCAAATAACTGACCTCTGGTTAGTTGATATTAATTCTTCCCCTTTGCTTTGATTTTAAACCTCTTTTGGAGGGATATTTCCTTGGTTTCTTTTGCTAGAAAAGTTTCTTCCCCCTAAAAGAAGAATATTTTCAGTGCTACAAACTCCAGAGCATAAGGACTTTGGATGAACTTTCTGTTGAAACACAGCACTTAGACAGCAAGGTCTGCAAATCTCAGCTTTTAGCCCAGTGAAATTTGACGGTTTAACACCTTCAAGCAGCCTCCCCTCAGTCAAGACAGAATCCGGCGTGCTGCACATTCGTTACCACAGATCCATCTTGCCTAGTTTTATGAACTCCATGCAAATAAAACCACACAGCACGTGGTTTTCCGTGTGTGCCATTTTCCACTCGATGTCCTGTCTGTGCTTCATTCATGTGGTTTGGGTATCTGTGTGTTTTCTGTCGTTGTTCTGTTGCGTTTCCTGTTAAATACACGTTACTCCATTGCTGCTTCTCCATAAATTTCCTAAACTATAAAGACTGTTCTTTCTCATATGCTGTTTTCTTCTCTCTCCCTCCCATGGTTTATTGAACCATTCAAGTACTGATGGACAGTTTTTGGCTTTAGGCTATTACAAACAAGGTGGATACGAACAAGTCTTCTGGTGCACATGTGAATGCATTGCAGGTGGCTACCTGCCTAGCAGTGAAGCTGCTGGGTGTGATAGAATTCATGCATGCTCAGTGGTGTAAGGCACCATCAAGATGTTTCCCCAGTGGCTTTACTGATTTACATCCTCACCAGCGAAGGATCAGAATTCCAGCTGCTCCAAGTTTTTTTCAGCATGTGACGTTGGCAGCATTCAAGTGCAGGCATTCTGGCAGTGAGGAGTGGTATTTCACCGTGGCTTTACTTTGCATTTGCTTGATGATTAATGAGGTTGAGCACATTCAAATGTGCCTATTGGTCATTTGAACATCTTTTGTGAAGTGCTTAAGTCTTTTTCTCATTTAACTTCTCATCAATTTGTTATTGATTTGTAACGTGTTATATTACATATATATCCTTAAACATATATATAAGAATGTATGTCCTTAAATTTTAGATGAGTTATTTTTCAGGAATATATATATATATATATTACATATCTTCTCTCAATTAGTGCCTTTTATTCTCTCAATTGAACAGAAGTTCTTAATTTTCATCAAGTCCTATTTGTCAATCTTTTCCTTTGTGGGTGGGCTTTTGTGTCCTGTTTAGGAAAGATTCATGAACCTTAAGATATTTTCCTATGTAATCTTCTAGAAATTTAACAGTTTCACCTCTTATTTCCAGGTTTGATAGTAACTTGGAAATGATTTTTAAATATATCACATTGCAGGGATTCAGGTTCATGTTATTACTCATACATAGCTGACCCGGTGATTGTCAGCTGAAGAAAGAGGAGGTTCATACATTTGGAAAGGAGGGCTTTGTTTCTTGTGAAGGGTGCAAGAGTGGCCGTTTTGACAGGCTGGGAAGTGTAGCCTCCAGTCAGAAGTTGGAAACAGACACTTCATGGGTGGAAAAAATAAGACAAAAATTTATTCAGAATGGGACATCCAATGTACATACTTGATAAGCTACAAAAACCATGAATATTTATGAAAAAAAGAACGTGTACACGTGCACCTGAGCGTCTTGCTTCTCTGTGGATCGAATGATCAAAAGCTGGCGGTGTTAGCGTGATCTGAGGGTGGCGTTTTTGGCCCTCTGACTTCAGAAGCTGATGCAGAGGATATGAAAACCCTCCCTGCACATTCTCTGCAGAGTGCCAGAGCTACTCCATGGCCAGTGGGCTACCATCAGGAAGGAATGCTGTTGGTTGTTGAGTCAAGATCTTAGAAAGGGAGGGTGCGTGATGAGGCCGGTGAGTCAGCAGCGGAGCAAATCTCCAAAAGGGCTGGTTTCTGCTTCGCTCTTAGGGAAGGTAGACTCATGGCGGCAGTGGGGGAGGGGTGCAATGAGGCGCACCCTACCTCCCGTCCCATCACAGCCAGGAACTCAGTTCAAGTGTTTCTGGGGTCCCCTTGGCCAAGAGGAGGGCCGTTCAGTCAGTAGGGGGCTGCAGATTTCGCGTTTTACTTGTTCAAATGTTTCTGGGGTCCCCTTGGCCAAGAGGAGGGCCGTTCAGTCAGTGGGGGGCTGCAGATTTCGCGTTTTACTTTCCATGACACGTGTTTGAAACAGCGTGTTCTCCCTACAGCCCTGCATTCGCACCTCAGTCATCACTGAGTGGCTGCACATGTGTGTGTCTCTGTTTCCAGAATTTCTGTGTGGTTTGTTGGCCTTGCGGCAACACTATTTTAACTGCTATTGGCTGATAAAAGTTGTCTCGATGTCTGGTGATGAGAATGCTTCAGCTGCGTTCCTCTCCGTCAAGACTGTCCTCGATGGTCTGGCCCCTGGGGCTTTCCATATGTATCTTAGTATCCACTTGTCAATTTTCACCAAAAACACAACTAAAGCCTGCAGGAGCTTCGACTGGTATTGTATTGAATCTGTAAGTCAATTTGGGCTCACTTGACAATTTTGACATTTAACCCTCCAGTTTGTGAAAGTGGCGTATGCCTATCTTTATATAAACTTCTTTAATCGGTTTCAAGGACATTTTTTTCAGTCTTTTATAAAAGTTTTGCAAATTTTTGTTATATTTATTTCTTGGCATTAATATTCTTAGGGTATTGCAATTTTTTTAAAATTTCACTTTCTAGATGTGCTAGTATACAGAAATGCAACTGACTTTTGAATGTTGAACTCATATTCAGCTATCTTAAATTAACTTATTAATTTAAATAGTTACAGTTTTTTTTTGAAGTTCCACATTCAAAATATTTTTGTTTGGCTAAATAATGAAGGCTTTATTTGTTTACGTCTAACTCTAACTTTTAAATTTCCTTTTCTTACCCCACTGTCTCAGTTAGTACTTCTAGTACAATATTGAAGGAAATGGAGATAGTGGAAACCCTTGTCTCATTTCCAATTCTGTTAGCTGTGCCTTTAGTATTCCGCTGTTGCATTGGTAATTTTGTAAATACCCTTTGTCATATTTGGGAAATATCCTTATGCTTATGGTTAACTGAGGTTTCTTTTTAATTTTTTTAATCTAAATTATGAATAGATGTTGAGTTTTATTATATAATATTTCTGTAGTCATTGATATTATCATATGGTTTTTATCCTTTATTCTGTTATGTTGCTTTACTATGACTGGTTTTAAATATAAAACCCACTTCCATTAATGAAGTACATCCCACTAGGCTTAACATATGATTCCCTTTACATAGTATTATAAATAATAACTTTTTGTTCTTACGAAATATCCTTATCTTCAGTAATACTCCTTGCTTTAAAGCAGGGGTGTCTAATCTTTTGGCTTCCCTGAACCACATTGGAAGAAGAAGTGTCTTGGGCCACACATAAAATACACGAACACTAATGATAGCTGATGAGCTAAAAAAAATCACAAACAATCTCCTAATGTTTAAGAAAGGGTATGAATTTGTTTTGAGCCACCTTCAAAGCCACTCTGGGCTGCACGGGGCCCACGGGCAGAGGGTTGGACAAGCTTGCCAAGTCTGTCTTTTTTCTTCATTAGTTACATCAGTTTTTAAAACTGGATATGTTTGCTTTTGAATTTTGTGGTGTATCTTGTTCAGTCTTTTACCCTGTTACTTCTTTGTGCTGATGTTCAAATTAGCTCTGTTATAAGCAGTGTGCCCTGGGATCGTTTATTCTGTCAAGGAGAGATCATCTTTGTTTTTCAGTTAGCATATTTAGTCCATTTACAGTTAACACCATTACTGTTGTATTTTAGTTTAAATCCACCATCTATTATTTTCTATTCGCCCCATGTGCTTTTTGTTCCTTTTTCCCCTTGTGTTTTTATGATTGAATCAACATTTTTACTACTCTATTTCTGCCTCTGAGCTTATTGTTGACATTTTTGCTATTATTTCAATGGTTACTTTATACCAAAAATCCACCTTTGACATCATCTGTCCTAAACTATCACATTTACATCATGTAAGTCATTTCACTCTTCGTGCTTTGTCTTGCATTTTATCCCAGGTTTCAGGTGCATGAAACATTTTTATTATTGTCTTAAATATTAGCTCTTTATGTAGGTTTACTTCAAATACTTACCCTTTTGTGTATCCTTTCTTACTTTTAGCATCTCCTCTCTTCCAAAACACTTGTCCTGCCTCATGTCCATTGTCTGGGACATCTCTGTTTCCGCCTTCCTTTTGGAAAACCATCTCTCTTGGGCATGGCTTGTTGTGTGTGGTCTGTAAGCACATCAGTGCCATCACTACACGCCTTTTGGTTTCTGTCTGTTGAGAAGTGAACTGAGGCTCTAAATGTGGCTCTTTGAAAGAGTCGTGTTATTTTCTCTCGGTATTTTTAAGGTTTATCTCTTTGTCTTTGGTTTTCGGATTTATTCTGATGACACTAGTGTCAAAAGCTAAATCTGTGAAAAGTCTGAGGTTTTGCTCTCCCTGTTCCTGAAGTCCTCGGTGAGTGTGGCTGTGAGTCTGACAAGGAGCTGCAGCTCAGGGGCTCAGGGTCCCACCGCCGACTGTGGGGCCAACTGGCCTTTGCCCTGGATGCTGAGCAGACCCGCCTGTTCCTCTCTGGAGGGAGGCACTGTCTGGCTCTCCTAAGGCTACTCACTTAGCAAACATACTTGAAGAGAGGATGGGGGGCCAGTGGGTCTCAATGGCTCAGCCTGCAGCCTTCCAGGGACCCCAGGATCCACAACAGCCTCCATTGTTCACACACTGTGTTCACGTCTGGTGAGTTTTCCCATGAGGACGTCCGCGACTGTGATTGATCTGACAGGTAGGAACCACACCCACTCCATCTGTGCCTCGCAGCCCTGAATTCAGGCCACTGACCCCAGGCCGCTCGTCCAAGGGCGCTGGGCTGATGGTGGAGGGAACCCGCATGCCCTCGGTCCCTTCCCATCATCAAGCGTCAGAGGTGCCCTTTATCTCAGCCGACTTCCCTAAACTTTGTGACTTTTCTTTGACATTATCCTCCCTTCGCTTTTATTTAAATTTTTTCCCTTCTAATTCCTTCACAAACTGTATCGACCCATGAGACCAAAGCCCCAGATAAACTGAAAAATGATGTCCTGGAAGGATGAATCTTCAAGCCTTCTGGGGAGATAAGTGCATGAAACACTCAGACATCCTTTTATTCCAGAATCTCAGCTTTGTAACATGATTCCCTTCCAATTGTATCTAACTTAGAAAAGTCTCTCACATCTACCGCAAATTCATGTGGGAACCTAACCCTCAAGGTAGCAGTATGAAAAGCTGGAACCTCTGGAATGTGCTGGGGTCATGAGGGTGAAGCCCTCATAAGTGGGGTTAGCGCCCGTATAGACGGGACCCTGAGGGCTCCCTCGCCTGTCCCACTCTCTGAGGACACTGTGAGAAGGCGCCATCTGCCAACCAGAAATTGACCCCTCACCAGACATCAGCCCTGGCAGCCCCTTCATCCTGGACTTCCAGTCTCCAGAACTGTGAGCGATAAATGTCTGTTTCTCCTAAACCCCCTCAACGAGGGCCCTTTGTTATCACGTCCCAAACAGAAGAAGTCCTGTGTTTATCCAGTATCCACTCAGCGGGTCTCCTCCTCTGTCCACGAGGCCACTGTTCTAACATGCCCCAGCAGGAGGTGAGCGCTTGGCATTTCTGGTTAACCTTGAGGTTCATCTTACCCTCACGCTGCAGCATGTCAGGTACTCCTGATTCCCCTCCAAAGAGGGTCCCCGTCTCCTCCTCCGCTGCCCTTCACCGCCTGTCTTCCTGGCCATCATTTTCCATCCTGTCCGGCCTCCCCCAGCCACGGTCCCCTCCACCCATCTGGAGGATGCTCTGGGTCTGACCCCTGCCTGTCTGCCCAGCCGTCATCTTCCATCCTGTCTGGCCACCCCCAGCCACGGTCCCCTCCACCCGTCTGGAGGATGCTCTGGGCCTGACCCCTGCCTGTCTGCCCAGCCGTCATCTTCCATCCTGTCTGGCCACCCCCAGCCACGGTCCCCTCCACCCGTCTGGAGGATGCTCTGGGTCTGACCCCTGCCTGCTTTTTCATTATTTGTTTTGTTGCTTTTTTCCTACCAACTTTCGTTGGCGCTAAAGTGCCCTGTAGACCGTCTGTCTTTGCCCATCTGGGTGGCCCCGTCTGTGGCTCCCTCGGCTGGCTGCTTGGTGGTTTGCACTTTCTTTCTGTCTTCCATAAGCCTGACTCTACCTCTACTTCTAGGTATTTAAATCTGCCTTTCTGTTCCCAGAAATCCCTTCCTGACGTTTGCACCTTTCCACACTCTGTCCACCCTTCCAGAGTCACTTCAGAGGTCACTTTCTCCGGTCAGAGCGTCTCCTCTCCGACTGAAAAGGATTTCCCCATTTTCCAGGACGCTTTTCCAGTCCTATATCACGTTTTTTTCGCATCTGGAACATTCTGGCTTTGATAATTCGAAAAATGTTGTCTGCTGGCATCTTACTCCCCAGTTGTCTTGGGAGGTGGGGCTTCCAATGTGTTTCCCGCCGAGCGGGGCTCATAGCCTGCCTTCTGCTTGCATAGGTTGTTGCCCAAGGATACGTGTTGTTGCACTGAATATTTTTGAATCTAACAACCAAAACAAACGTGGGTTTTTTTTTCCTGCCTCCTTACTATAAACCTTCTAATCATATTTTCTCTGCAATGTGTAATTGCATCAACTTATTCGGGAAATATCATGCTCTTGTGTATTTTAGATTCACAGATGGACACTCATCATTTCCAGCGCTGTGTGTATAAGTTTGGACCCTACGTGCAATTTCCATTGCATTAATATTCGCTGTCTTTGTAACGCAGTGTTTAGTTTGAGCTCATTGGTTAATTTCACGTGTATGATAAGGCATCCCACCCTTCTTAACAACAATTTTTTGCAAGACTGCTGTAACTACTTTAATCGATGCCTTTCAAGGTACCCAGGCTCTGGAAAGAAGAGTGGAAATTGAGAGAATGAGGGGAACCAGCTTCCTGAGCAAGCGCCCTGTCATTGGCACGGGGCTGGGAGGCCCA